TTTCTCCTTAGTCATTTCATTAGAAGCTACATCTAAGCTTTTAGGTATACTAATCTATAGTAGGTTCTTCGATATCAACGGTATATAATGCATATGTGCAAATAGCTGGCTTCGGACTTAGACGTACGCCTAAATATTCTGCATTTCAGTAGCAAAATACAAATTGATTATTTTATGTGGCATACAGAGTGGGGCCTTTTTGCTAGAGACAAACACCGATTATAATGTTAACGAAGTCAATGTTATGTATCATACAATATTGTCGAACTCTATCATTTCTTTTTCAGATTCTAAGGTACTGGGTGACTCAGGAGAGCAATGCTTCAAGGATTTTCCACATACCATTGCTTCATTGGTAATGATCTGACTAACTGATATAAAAGTGTAGTGAAAGTATAACATTTTTAATTACCCAGGAATATGAGCCACATCAGATTACTTAAGGTGATTAAAGTATGATAGTAGAATTTCCCATAATTTCTCACAAAAAAAGTTGTTATCCAGAGTGGCCGACCTATGTCCCATCATTACTATCATAGGAATTCGAAACCTAGTTGTGAGTGTCAAGTGGCAACATTACCGCTCCGCCAATTGACTACGGACACCGGTATGTCACATTTAAAATGTCAATTTTAAGGCGAGCCAGGTTTACCACGATTTTCTATTATAGTGGTATTAATGTCGATAATGAAAATACATAATTGTAATTAAAATGTATCACATGGTTATATTAGGCATAAGTAAGTCTCGAAGATATCAGTGGGTTTTGATTAAGAATATGAAAGTTTCTAAGCCTGCTCGTTATATGCATATTAGTGTCGTCAATTATTATAACTAAAATTTTGCCTTATCGACATGAGTCTCATCACACATGTGAATTTAGATAAGCATGGCCTGCCTTGAAAGTTGTATTTGCACTGTGACCCACTGGCACCCTTGGCTATGGTGCGAATCGGCAGGTCTGCCGCCCACTACCCTTTTTTGAATCCTGATGAGCTACTTATGAGATCTAGGCGAGGTCAAAACTGGAGCCCAGTCTTGATCAGAAAGGCCTTTGTGAAATGAAGCAAAGTAAACTTCAATGGTATCGTGAGGCCTTCTGCCCATCTCATTAAGGGAAATAGAACTATCAGTTCTACCTCACCTTTAGCTACCTAAGGTGATACATAATACCTTCTATGCTCTACTGTAGTTTCAAAACATGTTTACTGACCATTTAAAAGTGTCTATTTAACCATTTTGAGCCTAATTGTTAGTTAAGAGAAGCTATTTTTATGAAAGAGTTGTGTCAAAATTCTGTTCTTCAGAAAAAATTTACTTTTAAGTCAGCTTTTCGCTCTGAATTATAGCTGCGCATTAAATGTATTGTCAAAACGCTGTCATCCAAATGGATGGAACCATTAGTCAACCTAAACTGAGTGAAGTGCTTCTCGAACTTTTTAATATTTAAGTTCTTCAGAGATTAACTATAAGGTTTAAAAGATTTCGTCAGGCTTCTGGTTATCCATGAACAAGTCTTCGTGCATTTTTATTATCAATATTATGCTTTTGAAACTTTAAATTGTCCCCCAATTTGCTATCCAAATTCACTAGTACTGGATAACTTCAGTTCTTCTCATTCTTTCTAGGATAATTGAACTCACCTTAGGTTGTTGGTAAAAGACCCTTTCTTAACGACGTTTGTGATTTTTCCGACTCACTTCGATTAATCTTTTACATTTGTATTTTCATCCTTTATCTCTTTATCTTCAACTTTCCGTTATCAGTTAGATGCAAAAAGTAAGCTGTCTACCTTCCCTCATGGATCCTACTCCTTAAATTTTACTCCACACGGAAAACCAAATGTTTGTATTAAAGAAAACGAAACTATTAGTGGCTTAGCAAGCGATAAACTCGATAATTTCCAGGGCTTTCGCCACATGCCACAGTATGCAGGCTTACCAGAGAAGCAATCTAAAATTAATCGGACCGAGGCTGCCATCAACAGCGTTCTCAAATCGGTGGATCCCGGTGCCACCGGCTTGAAGCAATTGGAAACACGAGAGTCAAATGAGGAATGGATAAAGGAATTGCCTGTTATTAGTAGAGAAGGTAGTGAAGTACAGGAAGCTCCAGTATACGAGGAAGACTACGAGGAAGATTCTGACGAACGAAGCTGAGTTAACTGGATGTTTTCTACGCGTATTTTTATTAATGTTTAAAAATCCTCTCGCATTCACTCTCCTACAAAACAGATCTTAGTTTTTCGTTCATCTGTGAAAGCTAGCAAAATGTTGGAGTCGACCGGCTGATCTATTCCGCATGGGATCGAGTGCAAATGAGCTTAGAATGACAGTCGCTTAATTTGAAGTTAAAAAGAACTGGATCCTAAAAAATTCTTTTAACCAAGAAGATCTGAAGATATGTTCGCTTGAATCATTTGATTTACAGAGTCCTGTATTTAAAAATCATAATTTCAACTAAACATTTTTTTCAACCAATTTCTTCTCCCTAGAAGCATCATCAATATATTCAGATCTAAGAAGAATTCCCCCCTCCCCGATTATGGATAGTGTATATACATGTGATTACTATTTGTGATAAAAAACTCAAAATGGGCCACCACTCCATTGTATTTGGAAATTATTTGCAAATTTTCGCCTTGTCCTTCTAATAAACTGCGAAATCATGCTGTTTGAATGTCGAGAATTTTCTTTTTCCAATGGCTTCATACTATAATCTACTGATATGAATGCTGTTAGCTGAGTCAGTTCTCAATTAGGACATTTATCTGCCCGGCCGTAGATTTTCTGCGTCTTCTGTCAATTACATGAGTATCTCTTGATCCCTATATTTTATTTCACTGTCAGGAGCTTTTCTTTTTATAATAATGCAAGGAACGCTAATACCTCCACATGACTATTTGGGAAATATTTGACCATATCGTTCTAGCACTGAGCGGATTTGTCTTTCTCTCATTTTCTTATAAATCTTCATTCTTTAATAAAAGCTACTAAAACTTTTTTGAAGCGTGAATATAAAAGGTATATATTCAAATCAAATTATGATTATCCAAACAAGCGTTCGTTTTCGCACAACTAGAGCCGAAAGGTTCAACTTATTAAACGGGAAAGGCCTGACTCTTAGACTTGTACTCATAATAATGCTTAATATATTCCCATAATTCAGATCCGTTGGCCAAATTTTAATTTCACTAAGATCTAGCAGAAGCTTGTGCTACAAGTTGTGATACTGTATCCCTTTAACCAGTCTCATTAATTAGACCAGATTCTGATAAAGCAATCACTGGGAATAGCGATGCGAAACGAAGGAGGAGAGCAGGGGGTCAAGACGGTTGCGGATTTTATCTAAGGGTGAAAATGTCGGCTGCATTGGCTTAATCATCACTTTCCTCGACACTACAAAATCTTTGATCCGCAGCTGTTACTACAAAAACGAGATTTTACACGTAGTATGAAACTTATTTTCTAAGGATGGGGGATTAAGTTTATCCAAAAACGTTTAGAAGCCACCGCATATGGATGCCGATGTAGAGGTCCATGAGTTATTTATCTCGCCTAAGGGGATATCTTCCGCTGGTTATACGACTTGGCAGAAACAGGCAAGTCGCGAATTGCCATCAATAGGAGGATTTTGAATTAGAGTACGGCTTACGTAAAACCTAGATTAGCCGCTTTCAGAGCGATATTGCCTAATCATAGAGGTATGAAAGAGCATTTTGCTTGTTTTCATTTCATCTATGAATTATCTGACTTGTTAGATCACGGTTTTGGGTTTTATTCTTGGCTA